AACAACAACAACAACAACAACAACAACAACAACAACAACAACAACAACAACAACAAGATTAGCAGCGATTGGGGACCAGTTCCTGGTCCAAAAATAACATAAAGTTTGGTTCAAATTTTGTTTTTGAAGAGGAAAAACCGATACAATGTCAATGATAATATTCACGCACTATACCATGATTCATACCTTATCATCCTCTTTGCAGGTTTTGCATGATTCTTCTTTATAAAATTTAGTCTCTTTCTTCCACGTTTTCGATGAACGTTTATCGTTCGTGAATTTAACATCTATTTTTTGAGTTGTTTGCTTGTACACGTACGGTCCACGTTCTCGTAACTGGATAAAATACGACAAGATTGATAAGTTTAATTTTATAGATTTATTCATTCTTTATCGAATGGAAAATTCATTCATAAAACAATGGAACATTAAAATATTTTCTTTAGTTTTGTGACATTATAATCTATTAAATTAATAAGAATAAAAACAATGGAAGCTAACTAGAAAACCGTTTCACTTAGCCTCCAAACAAACTCTAAAAACATTATGTAAAAATATGAATCTTATCTATATGTATATTAATTATTTAAGAATTGGTCATTTTACAGTTATGTATATTTTTTTATCTAAGAGTGAAATAAAGTTGTATTATCTAATGGATAATATCAGTACTTCTTATCCAGTTTGTATGGTACAAAATGATGTACAATATATATACAGTTTAAGTCGGTCACGATTTGGTTCTGCTCATTCATCGATTCGGTCATTGTTAAGGTTGTTTATTTTGGTAATATTCTTTTCAAAACTTGCAAGTTGTTTTCTAATACCTCCGCCAGGAGGTTATGTTTCCATTCGTGTTTGCATGTCTACCAGCACAATTACTCAAAACTATGAAACGTATTGATACGAAATTTGTGGGATAAATGACGGACATTCCCCTTGCACAAACCTTGCACAAATTTGTTTGGTTGTTTTTTATTTGATTTTTTGCTTCTTTCTTATTGGTTGATTTATTCATTATTTAAGAGTTTTTAATTACTTGTTGTTGGTACTTATTGTTAGTTCTGTTATTGATTTTTTTGCTGCATGCATGTTTATTTCTTTGTTATTAAATCCGAAAATGGTTCTTTCTGGCTTTTTACAAGCATGCGGGCAATCGATCATGCTGTTTGCTCACGGAGCATCAAGGTTCCTGCCTTTTATGTATGGGGGGCATTTCACTCCAAAAATCCTTTACACTTTGCCAAAGAACCCCCCAAAAATCCGTAAAAAATCCAAATTTAAAGTTCGTTCAAATCATTAAAAGTCCAAAAATGGAATAAAACTTCCCTGAAAAAATCCAAGAAAAAAATCGCCAAAAATCCGCGGATTTTTGAAAGTCCGAAAATCCCGTACGATTTTTTTTAGTAAAAAAAATGATCACACGTATGCCTTATTTCGTGTCTAGATACGCTGAAAATCTCCCTCTCCTTACAAAAGTTCCCAGTTCACCACTACCTAGTTAGGCCCCTTTTCCTTGACCGTTTCTCTATTGCCAAATTGGAGACCCTGGGATCAACTCACCTTTGGTAATTCACCATTGTAAAGAAACCCATCTTTGTTTGTTATTTCCCAGTAATAAACTTTCGTTACGACACTATCAGGTTTTTCTTCCATCTTTATAGAAAGAAATCGAAATATAGAGAGAATTAAAGAACTGAGGTCAGTAGAAGAATATCGGTCTATTATATTATAAGTTATTCTTTGCAGGCATGCCTGTAGAGGCTGGTTGACACTATCATCGTTTCTGTGATCACAGTAGGAATTTTGCATAGGTAAATTCTAAGTTTTGAAGATTTGTAAGAATTGTTTGAAGGAACTGACTTAGTGTTAAACACTGAGTCAAGACGAAAATAAATAAATCACGACGCAATTACGACGAAAACAATTTCAACTTCCTGATTAATCACAAACAGGACTACTTTAGGAACTCTTTTTTTATAAGATCAGCCAACCTGTGGAACGGTCTTTCATCAGAACTGAAATCTCTAGTAATTAACTCTAGTTTATCCATATTTAGAGCCAGGCTACGCGAGTTCTATAATGCTAAATTACCATCATATAGTCCTCCTGGGCCCCTGGCTGCATCTAAGTAAATTTAATGTTATATAGTTGTTTGTTTAATCATATACTAGTTATTGATAGGGGTAAAGTGTCAATACTAGATTCCTCGTATTACGTTTTCGTAGAGCTTTGCATTGTGGTTATAGTGGTATCACTGATACTCAAGATGGCTTATTTTTTCTCCTGACCCGTGCAAGAATTTTTTTAAAAAGCTAGGGTCAGGTGCGTGATAGCCAACAGCAAAATATTCGCGAAAACATTCGATATTTTCATTCGGGGCCGCTATCTTTATCAGTGATACCACTATAACCACAATGCAAAGCGCTACGAAAACGTAATAAGGGGAATCATCAATTGGGACGCAAGTCCTGTTATTTTCTCCAGTCACGTGTATGTTTAGTGTGTTTTTTGGTATACATCTATATAAAGGTGACGAAATTATTAAATTAAATAAATTAAATTAAGAATCAGGTCCTTCAAACATTTCTTACAAATCCTTCACAACTTAGAATTTACCAATGCAAAATCCTACTGCGATCACAGAAACTTTGATAGTGCATGTAAACCAGCCGGAAGAAACCTAGATGCAATGAGGCATGCGCTGGGTTGAGACCACTGAAATGAATATATCACTCAGCAATTTCCGTAAACAGAAGCAGTCACCCCCCCCCCCCTGGAAATACTAAAAACGGCGCACGTCCAAGGGGGTGACTGCTTCTGTTTACGGTACTTGCTAAGTGACGAATCGGCATGACGAATAGAGCTTACGCAAAAAGCAATGGAGATGGATTTCTGTGTAGTATTCTGTGACGCTACCTTCAGATAAACTGCCTATATTTTTCTTGAAGCCAAATTTGACCCACAGACAAAAGACTGGGAGTGACCTTCAAGTTTGGCTTCAAATTTCTGGTTGGAGGTAGTGTTCCAGTTATATTCATTTCAATGGTTGAGACTAAATTCATGGGCTTTGCTATTGGTGAGGGAGGAGGGGGTAGGGGTCAAATTACCTGATATTTTTAAATACGTTTTACGTTACTTAAAATTCAGCTTGGTTTTTTCATGAGTACTAGTAAAGTAGCAGGTGTTGCTTTCGAAAGAATATATTAGCATATTGTATACAGGGGTAATCCAACTAGGGGCTGTCGGGGGAATGCTCCTCCAAGAATATTTTGAATTGTTTAGACCCCAGAAAGCGCGGAAATGCAACTAAAATTTTGCATTCTTAGCTTGCGTTCACTTTTAACTTCCACGTTTGCCTGTGAACGCTCTTGTAATTTACCTGAAAGTCAGCTCAATTTGCTTCTAAATTTACCTGAAATTACCTATGAAAATTACTCATGAACAAGTCAAAACTGAAAAATTGAACAATCGTCAGAATTCTGTAAAATTTTCGTCACTATAGAGTCACTAGAACGCAGGAAACGACGTCCCACGTTTCACCTCTTGTGTTTCTTTATAAATTTTCAAGGTGAAAGCCTTTTGGCGTAGAGCGACATCTGTTCTTTTGTACTAATCGATCGAGGACGATATTATTGTTAAAGGCTAAGCTATATCTTGCGTTGTTTTTTCGCAAACAGCTTGCAGGCTGGGCGTATTCTCGTCCCCAGAGCCATTTTCATTCGGTCACTCGTTGAAAATTAGGCCCTGGACTCGACCAAAGGGAGGCTTGGACTGGCTTCTCAGAGAACCACTAATTACCAGAAGTGGAGCTAGCAGTTTTCGCTTTTCAGAAAACAACTCTCAAAATATTTCAAAATGCTCTCAAAATGTTTCTTCTGTTTCTCCTCAAAGCTTTGAGATAACACTAACTCTACAATCTTGGCAAAAATTCCGTAGACACGTAGGTGTAAACTAATTAAGTATTGCTGTTCACATACAGATGTTGGAGTCTTTTTCTCGAAGCTTTCACCTAACCAATTTGTAAGCTTTCAAGACTTTCAACATTGAACGGGTGGGGAAGAAGTTAAAAATCGCTGGTTTTGCTCATATGTATTGGGCAAGGCATGCAGGTATTTCTATTTCCGCGCGCAGTGTTCACAATAATTTTTGCCTAGATTATAGCTAGAAACAACTGCAAGTTTTTCTGCATTTCCTGTTCCGTGTATCCCATGGTCTTCCAGTGCCCATGAAGGCAAGGGGATGAGGATTGAGGACAAGTTGGTCGAGAACGTTAATGAGACTGGGAAATATGTGAACTAATGAAATGAAATGTCCGTTCGATGAATATTTATGCCATAGTTAAGGAAAGAAAACCGATGCCGTGGAAGTCAGGCTGGACGTCATGGATAGCCTGCAAATCTCACAGCCTGCATGCAACTTGAGCGCGTTTGAAAGGCCAAAGATCATGATGGATGTAACACCTATTTGTTATCAAAAGTGTATTAAAAAAAGATCTGGAATATTGTACGACTGTTTGCCATGTCATGGCCAATACACACACGTCTATGTAAAGACATACTTTAAAACATCGAGAAGTTTACTTTTCTTGCATAGGAATATTATTACTTGTTTACGTTATAGCAGGTGCATGGCGCGGTTTCAAAATTTGCACATCTCTGAACTTTCGTCCTCCACACTCTTTTGTGTCACTGCAATTATATAGTTCTTTGTTAGATCTTTTATATCCCATACGCATGCCTCCATTTAAATTTTGGAACAAACTTCCATTCAATTGTGAGCGTCCAGCCGCCTTTTAAGTCAAAATTTCACATCTAATTGATCGCCTACGACGCCTAGGCAGTCTTAATTAAACATGGCTTTCTGACAACATTGTTTTTTCAAAACGACGAATCTCAATAAATGTATTAATTTAGAACTAGAATTTTTTAAGCAAAATAACTTTCTGAAAGTACATATATTGGTCTTTTTTTGATGAGCAAGAATTCGTTTTCTTAACCGTCAAAAGAGTGGAATATTAAAAATTGAGCAATCTTGATTCCTGTATTAAAATAACAAAAATAAAATAACAAAAATTAATTTTCGTATTGTTCGCTTGAAAGCGGATATAAGAACATCGTAAATCTTTTAAATTGTAACAACTTATAACATTTTGTTTCGTAGAGTTCAGAAAAGTTTATTTATTTTAAAACGTAGCGATAAAACGTTAATACTTTCGTATATGATATATATATTTGCTTTTGGACTAAACAAGGTCTTAAACTTCTTAATCATAAGATCCATAATTATACAAATTGAGAATATAGGCCTATTTTTCAGGAAACAAGAATTCAAACCAGGTTCACAGTATCAATGTTACCGATGTAAATCACTGGACACCCACTGAAAAGTATATATTTCTCTTAGCTAAATTCCTGTTGAACGGTTTTCTCGTTACGATCGTTCTGACACGATCCACGACATACTACTACTATACCTACACTGCATCTCTATGTTTGAAATAACATCCTGTAATACCTGAGATTATGTTCTACAAAATGTATATGTATTTAAAATATGACATGTTAAAATTGACTTTAATTTCGGAAATCTTACCCAGTCGTCATAGTTGGAGTCCGTCTTCGAATCAATGCAGGCTTGATCCTCGACAATCCCAATGACAATTTTCGGAATAACAAATCCACAAACTACGCCGATGACCAAAAACGTTCCCCCAAATCCGACGAAAGTGTATGCCCAGTTCTTTTTTGAGCATGTCATGTTGCGAGGAGCGATATCGTCGACTGAGCTATATCCTCGACTGTTTGCAGATATTTCTCAATGTGATATTTTCGGCGAACTGTCAAAACGTCGATTAACCCTACAGGGGTGACTGAGAGTTGGCACTTAACTGCCAAAGTTTGCTGTACGACGTAGAATTACCCGTCAAATAAACTTGTTATTTAGTTGCCTTGGTTGCAGTCATTGAGAGCAGATGAAGACTTTCATATTTAAATTTGCTAATGTTGCAAACTGCAATAATTATAGAAAAACGATCAAATTGAGTCCATGGATATGACAAAGCACTTGCCTACTAAAAGAGCAAGCGCGCCTACTTTCTAACCGCTTACTTCCTACCGGTTTTCTAACCGCTCACTTGCTATATCGTCGCTACACTTCCCAACAGGTAAAAACGATTTAGACCGGCGATATGATTGACGTTTTAAATTTTGCTTTCATATTTCGTTTTGGTTAATAGCTTTTCGAACAGGTGCAAAACGCGGTGTCTTTTTAGGAATTCATTAAGGCGAAAATGAATAATATCATTTTCACGCATAGATGATAGTTTCGAGTTAACGAACATTCGACAGGCATCGTCAGGTGCCATCCCCCACACTCCTCGATCTAATATTTGATTAGGACAGCCCTGCCCTCGGGGAATCATGGGAGTGTCCGAACAGGTGTGCAATCGAAAGATTCGTCGCAATCATTGGAGTTTCGCAGAAGATTTTTCTATTTGGCGCCTGTTTTTAGACTTTTCAATAATATGACATAACCTGGTGGTGTAAATAATAAGGAAACTTCGGCAGTGGCGGGAATATAGACGAATTTTCGGAAATTTTGACCTATAAAAGGTCTAAAAACAGCCTTTTCGAGTGCAAATGTGGGGGTTTGTCGGAAATTTAGAAGGCTTTGCCCCCCCCCCCCGGAAAAAGTGAATTTCCGCCACTGAACTTCGGATTGGTAGGGATGTAACTGTAAAATACAAGGAGAACTTCGACGTTTCGAGCTAAGAAGGCCCCGTTCATCGGGGGCCAGTTGTTCAAAGCTAGGTTAGCTTAACCCCAGGTTAACCTAAAATTCAAAGCAAACTTCCTGACAGCTTGTCTATAAATTTGCAAATATTTCTTCAGAGATCTTGTCTGGATCGATAGGAGTTTACTTGTCTGAAGTTTGGAAATAAACAGACGTGCAGAAATACACAAACTAAAAGAGCAGGTTAACTTTTAACCAAGGGTTAGCACTTACCCACCTTTGAACAACCGGCCCCGGGAGGTTAGTAGCTAACTTTCCGACAAAGGGCCTTCGCTCGAAATGTCGAAGTTCTCCTTGTATTTTTCAGGTAGTTGCATATCTATCAATCCGCAGTTTCCAATATCACATAGCCTCTATTTAGTCCTCCCTTCCAGTAGTACAGACTTACTGGGAAAAATAACCCCCCAGGGGGCTAAATACGGTGTGGCACCCCTACCCGTTTATAAGCCCTTCCGCTTATTAATAGGCGCAGCGCTTATAGTCGGAAATTTACTTCCCTCACTACGACTGATTTCGATCTATAAATGGGGCGTAACGAAAGACTCAGACGAAGGGCTTTCGCTCGAAATGTCGAAGTTCGCCTTGTATTTTTCAAGTAGTAATCCCTATCCGTACCTTTCTGAAACCACTGGTATATATAGTGAAGATTTTGAGTTAATCCAACCTATCATTGCTGTATGTTTGTGGAACCAGGGCGCTATAAAACACGGGCGGGGAAACGCGCTAATAAATGACCGTGCTATGTGCACTGAGCTATACTATATTACTGGAGGACCTGCTCGGGAAAAAAAAGTGAAGCCAAAAACATGGCGGATCTGACGCCATTGCCATGACTACTGGTCCCTAAATTTATGGCAACTACCACTGTCCCAACCGCGATCCTAAGTTTTCGACAATGTACTTCACCCCCCTGGTTTCAGCACAGATATTTTATGATTTCGCTTGTTTTTGAGGTAAAAATCGCACTGAAAATCTTGATATTTTTCTCCTATAACTTGGTTGATTTACAATGTCGAGGATCCTGCCTTTTTGCGCCGCTCATAGATGTATGAGATGTACAAGAAGAATCTTTTTATTCACCGGTAAGATTTTTATATATTGTAGAAAATTTGAAGCAGAAGTACAAACTACAAAGTTTATAATACTACGAACATAAAAGTATATGAACAGCAAATTATTAGCAGACATAACAACCTGTAAATGGTTGGCAATTCTGTACATTTTATTGTCCTTTTGATTTGGTACTACTACTGCTATAGCGATATTTGCGTAGGGTTTCATGGCTGGTTAATATGATTTCAAAGTCCTTGCTGTAGTGTCTGCACACTTGTATTTATTTAGTATTTTAGTATATTAAATTTTCCTTGACAAACTTTGAGTGATATCCTTGCCAGGTTCATGCCAGCAGTTGTTTATAATTACTGTGTAGTTATATGAAATCTCACTTACATGACATGTAGACAAGTGAACAAATACTTTGCTAGCTAGGCGGCTAGGCCAAAGACATCAGGTTCAAACCATTCAATACCCATTGCAATCAAGCAATTACCGTAAACATATAAGCCCTCCCCCCCAATATAAGCCCCCCCTGTGTATAATCCCATCATATTTACTCAGGCTATTCCGAATATAAGCCCCTCCCCCCTCTAATGTAAGCCAGGCCTGTGTGTACAAGCCCATGGGCTTATATTATTTGACAGGGGCCGGTTGTATCAAGCCCGTTAAGCTTAATTTCTCATGAATCAGTCAACTTAAATATTCTGCAGTGAATATGTAGTTGTAAACATCATTCTATTAAGGTTCAAAACTTCTAGTTTGGTTGTTGAATGAATCTATAGAGTCTGAGTTGCTTTCTATTTTGAGCTTAACCAACGTTTAAGCTAAACAGGCTTGATACAATTGGCTCCAGGTATATTTATTAAATGCAGCTTTAGCCATACATATTAGAATACAAGCCCAGGGCTAGCTGGCTTACATTCAGAGGCCGGTTTACAATATCTCACCCAACATATAGTTTGTCAGAGTTCTATAAATCCCACAGTCATTAGAGGTAATATAGGAATGAAAGGTGCACAATATGTGTGCCAGTCACCTTGGCATTGACCGGCCAACCTTATGCTCTGACAATTAACCTAAATTGATTGATGATATGTTTGAGAGCAGTTTCAGGTGTGGTGGTGTCCCCAATATTGGAGTAGAGCTCAAATTTCAGTTAGATATATTATTTGTGATTGTTGTGAACCTTTTCACTTAGATCATTTGTGATATATTGTAATTAAATGTAAAATGAAACTTTGGGGAGTTAAGAAATACAATTAATTGACAAGACTGTCCCCTTGACAAGTAAAATTGTCAGGCATTAGACTGCCTGAGTAAAATAATAAGCTTGGGTGCAATTAACTGCTGTATGCTTTAAAGTTGGTTGCATGCTTTAAAGTTGGTTGCATGCTTTAAAGTTGGTTGCAAGCTAGCTGGGCTTATAAATGCCAGAACTCATGTGAAAAATGCTTGGATCAATTTATTTCATCCGTAATGAACCCATTTTTAATCCTTTAATTAAGTGGCAATGCGCCCCACCACAATATTTTACTCCGTCCAATGCCAGACAATTTTACTTGTCAAGTTGAGAGTGCTGCCCCTCAATGGGTTCAGTTGCATTGCACCCTAATGTATATGTTCGTGTTACTTTGTCTAACGCCAACAATTTTACTTGTCAACAAGAGAGCACAGTGGTACGTGCTGAATGGGTTAACATATAAATAATGTCTACTCTACAGTAAATTTCCCTGTAATTGGACTTTGGAGCCTGGTATATGTGACTCACTATTTCTTCAAAGTGTGTTCTAATGATACTAGCTGTCACTATTTTATAAATATAATTGACATTTCTCATTTAGGGTGATCCAGGATGTAGGTCATGTGGACAAGTTCTTTGGAATGTTCAAATAACAAGAATAGTGGTGTTATAGTAGTGGTGGCACTTGCCAGACCTGAATTGAGTTTTGAATTGAGTTTTGAAACTCAATCTTCTCACCAAAGTTTCAGTGCAGTAAAAATGAAGTTGTTTGAGTTAAATTTGTGACGTGTGGAAATTAGTTTTCAGTTGGAAACCCGACAATTAAGAAAAAATGGCTGGAATTCATCTCACAACACAAGAAAAACTATGCATTCGCCATTTTAACCAGTTTATAGTGTCCCTCAATGCCCCTGCTTTAACACATTCCGTCTCAACTACATTTGTTGAGTACAAGTGTCAGCCCCCCGGTAGGGGGGGGGGGGGTTGCAACCACCACAGCTGTTCAGCTAAACTCAATCTTCTCTGCAAAAACGGATCCAAGAGAAAATCCTGAAAAAAAACCTGTTATATGTACTACAAGAAATGGCCCAAGGCATCAAAACAGGGGACAGCCAAAGAATCACCCATGGAGCTACAGTTATAATAATACTCTATCACATATTGTAACTTGATTGTACAGTTATAATTATTAATTTGATAATTATTCTTTGACCAAGTTTAATTAAAATAATACAAAATTAATCATGATTTTGAATCCTTAACAGTTAAACAACAGTGGCATGGACTCATGCATTGTTGGAAAATTCTGCATCTCTATTGTTTTGACACTATTTTCATGACCAATTTTGTTGTTTTGACTTCATTTTGACCAAGTCAGTCAGGTTAGTAACTATCTTGTCTAACATTTAGAGATCTTGTCTTGTTCAAGTGAGATCTCAAACTGAGCCACGTTATCCATGCAAATTGAAAGGAATTTCCACTATAAAAATATTAAAATAACCACATAGTGAAGTCTCGCTTACTGCAATATGGCAAAACTAGAGACTCACAATTAACTTAATATTTGAGGGATGGGGCAAACAAGCTAATGGCCTTTTAAAGACACATACAACAAACTATCATACAAATGATACAATACAATACAATACAATACAATCAGAGAGCACATATTAAAACTACAATGTACAATTCTGGATATAAAACATGCCTTTTCACTTCAGCTGGCCCTACTAGGCAGCTGAGCTTTTTTCTGCACCAGTTCACCACAAGCTCATGCATAACAAAACCCTTGGCTAAATATATAAAACCTTAATTTCCTCTTTAATACACCAGAACATCATAGTTTCATCATACATGTACTGTTGTGCAACTCGATATTGCGAGGAATGAAACATTGCATAAAGTTAATACAGTAAATACAAAAAGGTTTATTATCTACAATCACATTATAAACACTTGTGGCTTATTTTCTAAAAAATAGAGTACATTTTACCATTTATTCCTAACATTTTTTCATGAAATACTAAAATAAAAATGTGAATTTTAAAATGTTTACCTGTTTATAGTTGACTGCATGTTTATAGACTGCTGTTTATAGCCCGGCTTGAAATATCGTTTTTGTCCACATTTTGGGAGGTTTTAATAGTTGTTTGTTGTCTTTTACGGACGAGAATAACGTGTACGACTTTCACATCCTTGAACAAACGGTCAAACGTCGAAAAAATATGTCGAAAATAACAAAACAACAGGAATTGACTGCAAAAATCCGAAATATTTTTTTCAGAAACCAGGGGGGGGGTGAAAACTGTG